GATCTCAAAGCCAAAGAAATCTGCAAGACAATGTCATAAACGTCAAATCGCCGTTTTATTAGACAACCGGTGTCGCGACCGGTGTGTGTGTGGAGGTGTCACACCTCCTCAATAACCCTTATTAAATGACAAAATGATATCATCTATGTATAAAATGGCTGGCTTTAGTTATTGATTTAGAAACTGGCCTTCTTATTGATTTTGTGGTCCTGTCAAATTTTTGTATAAAATGCAAGATCGCAGAAGATGCAAAGCAAATCAAAGAGTAGGCAGAAAAGTATGGAACAAATTGCTCAAAAAACTTCAATGGATCTTCAAATGCAATAAAGATGGAATGTGCAAAGAGACTGTGGAGAAGGTCAATAGAGAAAGACAAATTGCGCTGTGTTACCATGCTCTGTGATGGGAACAGCAAATCATTCAAGGCTGTATCAGATTTGCATGTGTATGGAAAGGAAAAGCAGATAACAAAGGAGGAGTGTGTAAACCATGTCTCTAAAAGGATGGGCACTGCTTTAAGAAAGCTAATTGATACTTTAAAGGCAGAGAGAGGCAGTCCAATCTCTGGCAAAGGAAAGGTGACAAAGGACATGGTGCTAAGAATACAAAATTGTTATGGCAAAACTGGCAAGGAACACTCAAATCATGTGCCACTTCTGAAGAAACGGATTTTTGCAATTCTTTGTATGCAAACCCAAAGCATAATCATTGTCCCCCTGGTGCTACATCTTGGTGTTTCTGGCAGAGAGACCTTGCAAAATGCAACAGCCCTGGAAGTCACAAGGCTCATGCTACATTGTCATCAGATGTAGTAAAGAAAATGGTTCCAGTTTTTTAACGCCTTGCTTATGAAGATTTACTGAGAAGATCTTCCTGTGAATCGAAGCAAAATAGCAATGAATCTTTTCACAGTGTTGTTTGAAGAATTTGCTCTAAAATTATTTATGTTGGAAGGCATACGCTGGAAACAGCTGTATCAATGGCAGCTTGCAAGTTTTCAATAGGAGCAACATTTAAAACAGTTAGGCATAAAGGCTGGAGTGCATACAAGAAAATCATCAGCCATTAAATCAGTGCAAAGGTTGGAAATAGCAAGAAAAACTTCCAATGATATAGCTAAAACAAGAAGAAGTTGATTGGAATAAAAAGGAACCGCAAAAGAGGTTTAGAAGAAAAAGCAAGAGGGAGACAATGGCAACCCTCTATTATTTTTTCATGTTTTTGCTGCTGCAATGATAGTGATCTAGTTCAGAAAATGTAGCAAGAAGCTTGAACAAAAACTGAAATATCTTAACAGTTCGGAAATCTTAAAGAAAATGAACTTTTGACAACTTGTTACTAGTTTTGCTTTGTTTTTTGCATTCAGATTTTTTAAATAGTCATTTTGTCAGGATCTGTTTTATGCGTAACTGTCTGACTAGGTCACTTCTTCATTTCATGACAGTTTCACCTATTTAGTCTTTATATCAATTTACTCACTATAAGCTGATTAATGCAATGAAGATGTCTGTTTTCAAATATTTTCAAAAAGAACTGTCAAACATTGTTCTATAGAATTGTCACAGTTTTCAAATTTAAAGGCATGAAGTCTACTATGCTGCTGGATATTTGAGATATGTGGCGTAAGCCAACTCCTAATTGCAAAGATGTACTGAAGCACTTCCACTTTGTGCGGCAGTGTATTTGTGCTTGATCAGTACCATAAGGTTGGGCAAAGTCAGGGCATTGCTTTTTCTCAGCTTTGATGCAATGTCACTGTAGAGCTATAAAAGATTGAAAAGTTCAGCCATGTTTTGATTCAACAGGTTAGGTTCTTTAAGTTTGATTCAGTTTCACACTCAGGGAAGCTCGTTTTTGTCATTATCATCATATTATAAGAAACATTAATAAGATTATAAATCAACAGAGGGAAGTTTACTCTGTATTATCATTAAAAGATGAGGTAATTTGCGTGGAGACTGGCCTAACAAATTAGGATATATTCTTTATCGTTGTAAATTATGTCAGACGGTTTGCAAGTGATGGCTGAAAGTTGACAAAGTTTTGTTGAAGGATCAGGTTTTTATAACCCTAATGAAAGTACAACAGCTTTTTCACTGTAGCACTTCAACGATCAGTAATATAATACTGACACTTTTTCATGTACGCTGCAAGCTGCTTTATGATTTTATTAGGGCTGTTGAAAAACTGTGCCATCAAGGGAAAAGAACAGATCCTCTATGCCTGAATCATTTTCATTATTTGGCCATTGTAAAATGATAATTGACTGCACAGATATTGAGGTTGCTGCCCCTGGCTCGATGAGTGGACAGAAACTGATCTGTTCAACATAGAGAGAAATGAACTCATTAAAGACACTGATTGGGGTTGCACCAAATGTTGTCATTATGTAAGCACACTGTTTCCTGGCTCAACAACTGATGAAGCCATTGTTGAGAAATCTGGAGTGCTACATCATTTTGAAGCAGGAGATATTATACTACCAGATAAGGGGTTTTTAATATCAGATATTCTTCTGCCAGGTGTTTCTGTAAACTTCCCCCCTTCTTATATAATGGAAAGTTTCATTCAAGTGAAATAAAGCTCACCAAAACAAATGCAAGATGCAGAATTCACTTTGAATGAGGAAACACAAGGCTTAAAGTGCTACTGACATGAAAAATGAAAAAAAATAAAAAAACATTTTTATTGCCTAATCCTATCAAGCTAAGAGCGCTGAATCGAATGGTATAGCTTTTTCTTGCATATCTTTTCTTTAATGCACTTATTTCAAGCTCCAAAGTGCGGATTTTCGTTAGTTTTTGTTCGAATAAAAAAACGCAACCAAAGAGGAATTTCAGGAATTCATGACGTATTCTGGTGTGTTAGTGCAACAACGAGGTCAGATTATCGCGTGCATTTGAAAGGTGGCAGACATGGAGGATAGATAAAAACGACCTAAAGGGGGCAAATATTGCTGTGCTGGTGCACCAAACGATACTAGCTGTAAGAATAATAGCCATACTCCTGGAATTTCTATGCATGCGTTCCCGAAAGATGAAAAACAGCGTCGATTATGGGTGCAATTTGTAAGAAGACACAGGGCTGGTTTCACTCCGTCGTCTTTGTCCGCTCTGTGTTCTATTCATTTCAAACCTATTTATTTTGTAAGACGCATAGACATCACTTTGGAAAGTACTTCTACTGGCATTACCAGACAGCGCAGACTTGAAATTGGTGCTGTTCCTTCAATTGATGCGGCAGGAAGCCCCCCCGAATCACTTCCCTCAAAGCGTCAGCAAAGGCACCTCAAAAGAAAAGTATGTATGACACCACTGTTCTCTACTGTAAATGGGGGTTGTAATTATCCACCCCTCAATTTTGCAAAAATACATATGGTCAACATAACTTTTTTTAAAATTGAAGAAAAGTTGTTGAGGGGTAGGGTGTACACATACTTTCTATTATTTACGAATAAAAGAATAGCAGACAGTGCATGATGATAGACAGTGACTCATTATATATTTTCCCAGTGACACAAACAAGGGTTGTTTATGCTTACAAAAAATTTCACTAAGGAAGTTCCCTGCTTGATTGGTTATAGAAGCCAAACAATACAATTTTGTGTAACGTTGTCTCTCAAAGACAGTGTTTTGCATGACCACCATGGAAGGCTTTTGCGTGTCTGCAGGAAAAATTATAAAATGCTGTTGCTGTCTAATAATTAAAACATCATGTGTACGGAAATAGGGTTTTCGTTGCACCTTTACTGATTCAACCTTTAGAAAAAACTTAGAGGGGATTTCACCTGAGACATAGATATTTCGGTCTTTGTTACAATTAGAGACTCGGCACGGTCCTAAGGGGTGTGTGTGTAACTTTATATAGTGATACACCAATTTTTCGATGGCTACATAACCATGCTCTATGAATTTATAGACTGCTGCTTTAGAAATTCATCCAATTGATCATCGACCAAAAGCTGCACAAAAAACAAAAGATGAAGCAGCCGACTAAAGAAAGAGCTTCAAGAACTAAAGAACACACAAAACGTGAGTAAAAGTGACAGCTTTAATTAACATATTTATTAGGGATATGTAGAATAGGGAAATGTATAAAATTGTTAAAAGAATAATATGTTGCATTCGAAAAATTTAAAGTTCAAAAAAGGGACCCATGGTGGCATACAAAAATCAAAGGGAGACGGGTTGGCAGTTGTTTGGAACTTGGGAGGGCCATTGCTATGTTTCGGAAAATGCTCAACTTTTGTGCCATTCTAGGTTATTGTCAAAGGATGCACTTTAAGACCTCTCCATTCTAACAGTGCCTTGCTATAAAAAATTATCGAACATTTTCTATATTTTCTCAGCCCACTTCCTTGAGCCAACTAGATGAGACTGAGACTGTTGTTGACTCAGAGTCAGATTTCTCTGAAACTGAAGAAAAGGACCAATTTGGAGAGCAGCGACGGAGATGAGACTGAAGATGACATGCTGGATGTCTGGGAGAACAAAGTAAATCTTGATGATGATGATGATGATGATGATGATGATGATGATGATGATGATGATGATGATGATGATGATGATGATGATGATGATGATGATGATGATGATGATGATGATGACAACGATGATGTTCTTTCTGATGGAAGTGAACCAGTATGTATTGAAAAAGCGGATCCACGAAAAAACAGACAAAGGAAAACAAACTTATCTGCCAGCAGAGTGAAATGAGTTCAAATTGAAACATGCGCTTTAGAGTTTAGATGAAATGTTTTTGAATTTGAACAATAAAAAGTTTTTTGCTGCATACATTTGAAATAGACTATGGAAAAGAGTGGTGGCACCATATGATGATATGGGGGAAGTAATAATCCCAAGGGAATGCAAGATTTGCCAATTGAACGTCACAGATTTCTCATTTGACCACCCATCAAATGGAAAAGTCTTTGATGCAATTTCTTCAAAGGCGCCAACAAGTCTTTGCTGTCCTGGGTTGATCGGGAAGTTTTTTAAATTGACCCTTGATCATGCTATTGATTTTCCCAGAATGAATAATTTCTATTAGCCTAAGAGTCTCAGTGAATAATTTGAATGATTTCGTATAAACAACATAAAATGTTAAACATAAATGCAAGTACATGAGGTGAGGTCATAGGTGTGGCATCTAAAAGTTGACTTCAGCATAACCTCCCTTCGTAACTTTTCAAAACCAGCTGTTCTTACTTCCAGAAGCTTGAGAATTTGCTTCAGAAACGTTGTTTTAGAAATTCATGTGATTCACTCTTACTATCAGGTGAACACATTGGTTGTTACGTTACGTTCTTCTATTAAAAATTTTTTCTTCTTTCAGTGCTGTTCAAAAGCTGTCAGCAGAAGATGAAAATAAATTTATAGTGTTCCAGTCAATGCTAATTTCCCTTTTCACAATGTTCTGCTTCAAATGCCACCATAAGGAACCATCTGTGAAAATGTTTAAAAAAGGAACCATGGTGCAAGTTCTGCAGACTTGTGACAAGTGCAATAATTCTTTCAAGTTGAGCAGCCATTGTTACTGGGTAAACATCCTGCTGGGAACATATTGCACAGCTTTGCAACTCTTGCTGCTGGAGCATCAATAACCCAGATGCTACTTGTAATGAAACATATGGGATTATCCTGTTACAAAGCACGAACATATTTACGGCACCAGAAGAAATCTTTTTCCTGCAATTCTCTACCACTGGATAAAATATCAAGAAAACATGTTTTCTAGCTTGCGGCACATGAAGAACTTGACCTGGTGTGGGGATGGTCGCTTTGACCCTATGGGCCATAGTACAAAGTATGGGGTTTATTCCATGCTTTGTGCATCCAGATGGCAAATAGTTCACTTCCAACTATTACGGGTTTGCTTTTGTTGAAGACTTTTTTAATGAAATACATTCTACTTATAATACATAACAACAGGAGGTGATTATGGCACAGAAGAGATAATTATATGTAATTTTTATCAGAGACATTGTCAATGTTCTAGTAATAAAATCCCTGGGATTTTCGCCATAGGCAAATGAAGCTGGCTCAAGCAGTGCCATGGAACTTGTAGGAGCCAAAAAGTGTTTTTCCAAACTAAAATAAGAGAAAATTGATCTCTCCACGTTTGTGTCAGACCGTCATCTTGGCATCTCAAAATGGGTCAGAACAGAAGAACAAGGAACGCAACATTTCTTTGAGATTTTGGCACGTTGCTCGATCTATTTCAAAAAAGTAATAGCTGCTGCTAAAGAGAGAGGAAGTGAGATTTTGCAGAAATGGGTGGAAGGCATACAGAGACATCTCTATTGGTGTGTGCTTTCGACAAAACAAGGGTTTGGTTCACAAATTATTGCCAAGTGGGAGGCAATTATACAACATGTTGCTGGTAAGCATGAGGGCTTCGACAATCCCCTGTTTCCTAGGTGTGCTCATGGAGAATTAGAACGAAGAAAGGTGATAAAAAAAGGTAAGTATAATAATTTTAGTTTCCTTTGTGCTGTCCTACAAATTCTCAATAATGAAAAAAATTAACCTTATACAGTGGCGTAGCGTCCGTGTATTCAAGGTATTCAGTGAATACCCTGAGATTTCTCAGAAAAAATATTAATACGACGTATAATTGTAATAACTAAAAAATGTTTTGGGGCTATTGATTCTGGTTGAATTTGTTACCTTCGATATTCTACATTTTGTACAAGTACAAAATATCACGAAACTCATGGAAACAATAACGCTGCGACGCATAGAGAAGCTGGGAGATCTTTGAGGCTAATTTTGAAGATTGAGTTACTTCATGTTGAATGGAGATCGGTCATGAATACGCAGTGAATATGGTACTTTAACCAATCAAAATGCTCCTTTCCATGAATAATGATTATTTGCCGTTAATCAGCTAAAACAATGCTCTTGTACGCTGAGAAATATGCAGCGTACAGCCTCAAACTAAAAACTAATTGCTTATGGTTTAATGGAGTCAGTGTGTGTTTGAAATGAGCGTGTAATGTGTACCACATATTTTTACTAATAAAATGATAAAATACAAAATGTTGTATTGATTGTTGATTGCCTTACTGCAACACACTTTGTTGATTTGTTCGGACTGTTACGATAAAGTGGAGGCACCGTCCGGATAGTGTGTTGGAGTAAGTTTTGTTTGTGGAAAATATGTCGGTGATAGATAGGAGAAAGAACGTTTGATTGGCGCATAAAGAATTTGCATTGCAAATCATAGAGGACAGCAATGAAAACGATGTGAGTGAAACAGATTTAAGAATGATTCAGTCACAGCTGAAGGACAAGCAGAAGAAGCTTGATAAATTGGACGACACGATATTGGGGTTAATAAGTGAGGAAGGAGAAGCCGATGATTGTGTCAAGGAAGGCAAAGAAGCGGGACAGTTTAGATCAAAAGTTCAGGCTGCTATAATACAAATCCAAGGTCGATTGGATGATAAGTTACAACGCAGTGGTTCCATTGACAGTCTAAGTTCTACAGCCACTTTGAATACTAGAAAGGTGTGGGCAAGGTTACCTAAATTGGAGATGCGAAAATTCAGCGGTAAACCGTATGATTGGCAGGAGTTTTGGGACGCATTTCGTTCGTCAGTTCACGAAAATGAGGAACTCTGTCAAGTGGACACCATAGTGCCTTATGTGAACAAGCTAATGCTAATTCTACTGTGTGTAAGGATGTCGGAAAGGCGAACATGAATACTTGCGTAGAGAGTGTTGAATGTGGGGGGAGGGTAGCTCTCCAAACCGCGCAAGGTTATGTTAATGGAACGAGGAAAGTGTGAGCACTTTTTGATGGGGGAAGTCACAGGTCCTTTGTTACCTCCAATGTTGTGAACAAAGCAGGTATTTTTCCTTCTCGTAAGGAGAATTTGCATATATGTAGATTTGGTGAGACTAATGTAGATGTTTCTGCATTGTTCAATGTTCAAATCAATTTGTCGTCTGTAGATAAGAAGTATAACATCCCATTTGAAGCTTGTGTTCTAGATTCCATCTCACAGCTGGAAAACCAACATTTAGAGATCGTAAAGAAGGATTTTGCTCATCTGAAGGACATTTGGTTTTCAGACGTTGATTCGAAAGAAGAGCAACTAAGCATACAAATTCTGATCTGTGCAGATTACATGTGGCGGTTTATGGAGGACGAAACGAGAAAAGGAGGTGTGAACAAGCCAGTCGCCGTACGAACAAAGTTGGGTTGGGTTCTTTCAGGACCAGTTAAAAGTGAGATCGTTGATGTTACTTCTGTCAGCAATGTCAATATCAATTTTGCATCGGATAAGGAAACTAATGTGTTTAATGATAAGGCCAGTTTACAGGATCAGGTCCAAAAACTATGGGATTTAGATTCTGTTGGAGTAAGGCCTACAACTGATTTTCATGAAGATATTGTTGATAATATCAAATTTACAGGCGAGCGTTACTCGACTAAATTGCCATGGAAGGAAGCCCATAAACCCCTTCCAACTAATTACGGTGTCAGTGTAGCGAGATTAAAGGGGCAATTATCTAAACTCAAGAAAAGCCCTGAAGTATTGCAAGAGTATGACAATATTATTAAGGACCAGCTTGAGAGGGGGATTATAGAGAAGGTTGTAGGTTTAGATAATTCTAGCAATGTTCATTATTTACGCATCATGCTGTTATAAGGGAGGAGGCAGAGACCACCAAATTGCGTATTGTTTATGATGCATCGTGTAGAGAAAAACACAATGGTACTTCTTTGAATGATTGTTTACACGTAGGCCCGTCCTTGAATCCGTTGTTTTTTATCTTCTTGTCCCTTGGAGACATCACCAAGTCGCTTTAGTCGCCGATATTGAGAAAGCACCCTGAAGACAGGAATTGTTTACGTTTTTTGTGGGTTAATGACATAAATTCCCAGTCGCCATCTATTGAGACGTATCTTTTTAATAGAGTAGTTTTTGGAATAAATTCATCTCCATTTTTACTCAATGCTGTTTTACGTCATCATATTGACAAATATACAGAGGTCGATCCGCAATTTGTATCACATGTAAGAAATGAATTTTACGTAGATGACCTAGCATCAGGAGCTAAGAATGTAACAGCAGCGCGGAAATTGTATCGTAAGGTTAAGAACAGGATGGCTGAAGGAGGTTTTCATTTACGCAAATGGAAAACTAATGAACTAATGATTTTAAGACAAAAGAATGCGACAATTTGTATGCGAAAACCATCTTGAATGAGGGAAAGGATATTGATTCCTCATGTAAAGTTTTAGGGATTCATTGGAATTAACGTGAAGATACCTTGCAATTCGAATTTTCGAAAATTGCATCCGAATTACTGGGTAAGAAAGTAACGAAGCGTGAAAAATTAAGTTTTCTTAGCCAATACTTTTGACCTGTTAGGTGTTCTTTCGCCTATTCTGATTAATAGAAAATTTCTTTTTCAGGAATTGTGTGTCGAAAATATAGGGTGGGATGACGAGTTACCCCCTGATAAATTAGAGCGTTGGAATAATTGGTTAAGTTCATTAATTAATGTGGGCTCTATTGTTATTCCCAGATGTTTGTATGGGAAGAATGCTGAGGAAATTTTGCATTGTTCTCTATACGGTTTTGCTTATCCGTCTTTAAAGGGTTATTGTGCTACCATGTATTTTGTTTATGAAACTAAGGAAGGAGTTTTCAGTCAGCTAGTATGTTCAAAAACCAGAGTAGCACCATTGAAAGCTCTTTCTATCCCGCGTTTAGAATTAATGTCTGCTAGAATTCTTGCAACACTAATGAAAACTGTTTCCTCAGCCTTAAGTAGTTACTGTTATATAGAGGAAAGGTATCTTTGGCTTGACAGTAAAACCGCACTGTTTTGAATAAATAACAGAAATGAATGGAAACAGTTTGTGCAACACAGAGTGAATGAAATTTTAAGGTTATCTTCAAGTGAAGAGTGGAGACATTGTCCCGGTAAAGATAATCCAGCAGATTTAGGATCGCGTGGGGTTCATGCTAATACTTTGAAGGATAGTGAGTTATGGTGGCATGGTCCAGATTGGTTATGTCAGGATAAGTCTTGTTGGCCATCAAATATTGATTTAGGTAGACCTTCTGAAGTAGATGTGGAACGTAAGAAGGATGTCAATTCCATGTTGATTAGAGAGGAGAGTTCTAAGGGTATTGACCAACTCATTGACATCAATAAGTACAGTTCGTATGATAAGCTTGTACGCGTTACTGCATATGTCTGACGATTCATAAATAATCTTAAAGCTAAAATGAACAAACAGGAAAAATTAATCGGATCTGTAACTGTGCCAGAAATCTTGTCTGCGGAAAGGTTGTGGATTATTAATGCGCAGGCAGTCTTGAAACAAGATCCAAAATTTGAATTGCTTAAAAAACAGCTAGGCATTGGAGAGCAGAGTGGTATTTTAAGATGTGTAGGTAGACTATCAAACTCTGATATGGAATTTGAGAGCAAATTTCCTATAATATTGCCAAAGAACCATCGTTTCACGGAACTCGTTGTTTTACATGTCCATGCGTTAATGGGGCACGAGGGTCTTCGTATCACTTTAACGGAATTAAGATCTCGGTTTTGGATTACTAAGGGGAGGGAATTCATTAAGAAGCTTATCAAGCCTTGTATAATCTGTAAGAAATTGGAGGGTAAGGCTTATAAGGCACCGTTACCAAATTTTAGAGTACAGGAGTCGCCGCCTTTCAGCAAAGTAGGTGTTGATTTTGCTGGACCGTTGTATGTCAAGGGGTTAAAGGGTAAAACACATAAAACGTATATCGCCCTTTCTTCATGCTGTGTAACACGCGCTTTACATTTAGAATTGGTGGAAGACCTTACAGCTCAGTCTTTCTTAAGATGCTTAAGACGATTTACTGCTCGAAGAGGTACGCCAGAGTTAATCGTATCTGACAACGCAAAAACTTTTAAGGCAGCAGCCAAATCTATCAATCGTATATTCAGAAATAAAGATATTCAGCAGGAGTTGGAGTCAAGAAGAAAAGAATGGAAATTTAATCTAGAAAGAAGCCCGTGGTGGGGTGGCATGTTTGAACGAATGGTTGGTTTAGTTAAATGTATACTTAGAAAAATTCTTGGCAATGCTCTTTTGAATAAGGATGAAATGCATACTGTTTTAGTAGAAGTGGAAGGAATTTTGAATTCTCGACCACTGACGTACATATACGAGGATGATTTTAATGTTGACATACTAACACCGTCTCATTTAATGTTTGGTAGTTTGGTAGGACTAGCCAAGCTGTGTAGTTTATGCAACTCGATATGGAAACACAAACATTGGCCCAATGATTGGTTGAAATCTGTGTTCATAACTATTCCGAAAAAGGGTGACGCAACACTATGCAAGAACAACCGCACCATCGTTCTGATCTCACATACCAGTAAGATTTTGCTGTATGTGATTGTAGAACGCATGCGTAAGCGTCTTGATGAAGAACTACCAGCCACACAGGCAGAGGAACTAGAGATCAAATATCCAATATCCGACGAATCATGGAAAAATTGAAGGAACGCAAAAGGCAACTTATCCTTTGCTTTATTGACTACGCAAAGGCCTTCGACTGCGTCGACCACGGCCTCTTGCTAAGTATAATGAGAGATATGGGCTTTCCAGAACACATAATCCATCTCCTACATGAACTCTACCGGAACCAGTGTGCAGTTGTCAGAGCAGAAAGTGGTGAAAGCGACGAATTTGTCATTGGAAAGGGAGTAAGACAGGGGTGCATTCTCTCCCCTCACCTTTTCAACTTATATGGTGAACACATAATGAGGAAGGCGTTATCGAACATGGAAATGGGTGTATCTATTGGTGGGCGGTTGATAAACGACCTTAGATACGCTGACGACACGTCCCTCATCGCCGAAACCATCCAAGATATGAACACATTGCTTCAAAAGCTCAAAGTAGAAAGTGAGAAATGCGGTTTATATCTCAATGTCGACAAAACTAAAATCATGAAAACTACTGCAGACAACAACCATATATTTGTCGACGGCAAAGAAGTGGAGGAAGTGAACAACTTTAACTTTCTCGGTTCGATGATTAGACCTGATGGAGACTGTGAAAAGAAGATTGAACGACGGTTAGCGATGGGCAGGTCTGCTGTTGGAAAGCTACAGAAGATATGGAAGAACCATGACATCCGGTTAGACACGAAAACCCGACTGATGCGGTCTTTGGTATTTTCCATCGTCCTCTATGGTGCAGAGGTATAGACTTTAAAGACACGCTCCCGAAAAAGAATTGACGCGTTTGAAATGTGGTCGTGGCGTCGTATGCTGAGCATCCACTGGTCCGAAAGGCAAACCCATGCAAGCGTGCTTGACAGAGTATACCGTCCAAACAGTCTACTCAATCTCATTCATAGAGCACAACTCACATACTTCGGACACGCCGCACGAAAACCAGATGACAGCATAGAAAAGATTGCTATATTGGGTATGGTTGAGGGCAGTAGAGGGAGGGGCAGACCCCCGACGTGGTGGACTGATAACATCAAATCGCTCACTGGCATGCAACTCTACGAAGCGCTAACCATGGCCCAGAACAGAGTGGATTGGAGAGAAATGGTCATGGCAGGCACAAGCAACCGCAACGGCTGAAGGAACGACGACGACGATGAGGCGATTATCACCTCTTGCAGATCACATAGAATTTTAATTATTCTGATGATGGAACTTCGCATAGTAAACGATTCCTTTATCTAGTTAGGAAATTACAACATTTTTGGAATAGATGGAGAACCGAATATTTGAGGAAACTACGTGAAAAGCATAATGCTACTGGAGCCGACAATTGTGACATTCATAAAGGAGACAGTATTGATAGAGGATGAAAATGTCAAAAGAAGTCAATGGAAGATTGGAAGAATCGAAAGATTAATTGTCAGTAAGGATGGTAAGATACGGGGTGCTTCTGTAGTTAAGATTTGCAAAGGTAAGCGAGATTTACTTAATAGACCAATTACTAAACTTTATCCTTTGGAGATAACAGGGACAAGTGACGAAGTGGGGGATATAGGAAATGGTGACAGTGAAAGAAAGGAAGTACGGAATAGGCCTCATAGAGCTGCAGCTACCGACGCGCTATGGCGGACCCGCCTTGTTTTTGACTCGGAGTGAGTCAAGGGGGAGAGTGTCACGGAAAGCAGGGAGTTTGCCGCGCAAACGCCTTTCCCACGGTTTACTTGCGTAATTAACCAGTGTGTTATTAATCAAGGTCGTGTTTTCAGTATTCTTACAATTTCTTTTGTCTTGTAATAGCTCTACATAGGTTTAATCGTTTACACATTTATTGTTGGTAATATCTTTTGTATTTGCCGCTTGGTTAATTGACTTGGAACATTTACACATATCTTTTGTAATCATATTTTCTAAAGGGACCGATAACTAAAAACTAATTGCTTATGGTTTAATGGAGTCAGTGTATGTTTGAAATGAGCATCTAATGTATACCACATATTTTTACTAATAAAATGATAAAATACAAAATGTATTGATTGTTGATTGCCTTACTGCAACACACTTTGTTGATTTGTTCGGACTGTTACGATATTACATCAGTGCAAATTTTAGAGGATTCAACAACAACTATTGGGACATATTTCGACTAGCAAAATTTTACTGACTTTCAATGATACGTTTTGTTACGTTTGTTACGTAATGATACGTTCAAATGGATTACTTTTGATGAAATGGTTAGTGGTATTTTGATGCAATGAATGAGTTCGAAGAGTATATTTGCGTTGGGTTCTTTAGCAAAGTATCCTTTTCATCATAGTAATGCCCTGACAGTGTAGTACTTGCCAACCGAACCAGAAAGAAAATTAGATAAAATGTCAATAGCTAGTCATTTTAAACTTCCTATTATCCCTCCTATTTCCATCGAGCCCCATGAAGCCATACCCTGCCCTACCCTTTTGTTTAATAGAGAATACCCAGTTGAAAAAGTCACGCTACGCAACTGACCTTATAGTTTTATTGCACAGAGCTTCTCGAAATTTACTTTTTGAATCAGTTTTGGTTTGAAACTCTAATATCTTATTACAGGAACACCTGCATATGACAAACTGTTGCACATTCTAACCAACAAGAGGGTGGTCAATGACATAAGGAGGCTCTCACCACTTGTTCAGACCAGTTCTCTTGAGGGCTTCCAATCTCTCTTAAACCACTGGCATCCAAAAATGTTGCATTTTTCATTCATTGGTACAAAATGCAGGTTAGATATCAAAAACTTTATAAAAACTTTTTCAAATGCAAAAACAATAATTTCTGGGATTCTGGTCAATTCCGTTTTAGATACTGATTTAAAAGGTTATGACCCACAAACTGTGATAAACACCCTGTATCAGTTTCCAATTAGATTATTTTCTGATTTGCCTGATTTCCAATTGCCTTTGCATAGAAAATTGATATGAAAAATCTTCCAGGGTTATTCTTGCTTGCCTGCATTTCAATGAAAATGTTCAGAGACAAAAGAAAACAACAAAAGATGGCAGAAAATACTTCAATGTGACATATCCAAAGTTTAGCCTTTGCGGTGAGGTTGTACGTGAGGTAGCTGTTAATCCAACATACGGTAATATATCAAAATTATAGACATATTGCAGAAAATACTTTCATGTGATGGCAGAAAATACTTCAATGTGAGCTATCCAAAGTTTAGTCTTGGAAGTGAGGTTGTATATACTTGAGGTAGCTATTAATTCAACAAACTTAAGACATATTCCCAATTTTTTATATAATCTCTAATTTCTATTTATTCTCTTTTTCAAAGCAATATAGCTATTTAAAATGGGTAGCTTGGTGAATTTTTCAAGGAGACAAAAGTGTCATCATTTGATATTGGATATCCCTAGATGTTAAATCACTCCAAACAAAAATTACTTTATAGTATGCTACAAACATCAAATCACTAATAGTCAGTTTACCATTGGACACGCTTTCAAAGACAATGGCAAAATCTGGAAGACAAAGCAAATGGCAGTGACACATCTGTATCCTGAAGGTAAGCAATGTCGATGTTCATTATGAAACAAAGAGACTATGTAAGTCAGACTCAAACTATTTATACATATATATTAACATGATGAGGCAGAAATTTTGGCATTAAGTCTAGCATCCTTAGAAGCTTTTTTAACATACAGCTTTAATTTAATTTTCTAGCTGAAGAGCAGCTATTGGCAAATCAGGTGGTGGCTTCTGTTCAAACACCACAACAACCTCAACGTTGCTGTGGACTCTGTGGCAAGCCCCGGCGAGGACACCCACGCAGTGGATGTATGACAGAAGCAGAAGATTAAATAGCTAGTGTCTGAACAAGGAATCTAAAATGTAGTTCTCTTTTCCTATCCTTTCATTTCCAAATGACCACAGCATTATATCCATTGAAAAATTGTTATGTTCACAGTTTTATTTACTCTTATTTGGAATCAATCTTTATATATATACATATAAGCTATTTGAATTTTGAGACAAGTCAATCCTGTTCTGGTTCTCTTTGTCTGGCAGTCTGAAAACCATGCAGTACTCCAGTTTTGAATTTGTCCCTTATAAGGTGATAAACACAAGAAGGAAGAGGTCTTGCATTATCATGGCCCAAATAGCCAAACAACCAGCTTACAAACCATCTATATGCAACTGCACGTAGAAACCTGAGGATAGTAACAGAATTACCAACAGTTACTAATCCTCTTAGAAGAATGCCAATAGCAAGAGACAGTAGTTATTAAATGTATATTTTTTGCAACAGATTTTTATTTTTGAAGGGGATTTAAATTTTTCAAGATTTTACTATATAATGATTGAATTCTAAAATAAGAAGGTTCTGTTTGCACTTACTGGTTTTCAGATTCATTTGATCTTTGCCTGTATGACTTACCCTCTCTTGTTTTGAACAAGGGGCCGGCGATTTGAAGCACAGACTCATTCATAAGTGCTGCAAAATCTGGATGATCTGTAACACAACCCCAGGGGCGGCGTGCAATGGTATAAACTGTATGAGCCTCATACCATTTTATTTCCAAAAAACCTTTAAATTCATCGGCTCGTTTGCCCGTTTTGTACTGCATTTGAGGCAGTAGCGGAGGCGCATTGCGTGTTCAATATTTATTCAAATGTCAACATCAACAAAACTTTGTGTTTGACTTGTTCCGACAAAAGACTGTTAATTGCCTTCTAATCCGTTAATGAATCATATTCTATAGTACGTACTGTTGATAGCAATTGAATCTTGAGGGCAGTTATAGCCATGGTATTAGTTTCTCATTTCTCATACCGTGATGTCATTAAACTTTTGTCTAAGTGGCCCTGCCCTATGTCTGGGCCTTTTGTCATCCTCACATTAAACAAAGCGACTTGTACTTCATGGTTTAAGCTTTGGATTTCTCATACCGTGGCCAGTCTAACCATTTTATTTCAATACAACACTAATCTTTCCCTTGCTCGCATCAATATACTGTGTCTCTTAACCATATGGATCGGGTCTTAGGACCGTTGGGGAGTTTCAAATATTTTCTCAATTTTGTCAACTCAAAAAAGTTTAACTCAGGAACAGCGGCTTCGCCTTAAAACAGACGGAAGACCATGTCCAAAAGTTACTGTGAAATACGTATCGAGTGACACAGATCAGAAATTTCCGTGGATTTGTGGAGACGTAGAGAGGAATACCTACTTTTGTTGGCCATGCCTCGTCATGGGTGAATTATCAAAGATGAGTTTTTCACTGAGGTTATTTAAAATATTTTTAAGGCAAAAAACGAAGTTTCCCAAACAAGCTTTTTTCAAATAATGGTTAGTAAAAGTTAAAAAAGGAATATTTGATCAGAGAGTGCTGGTGATAAGCATAGGTTGTGACAAGTCCAAATGCTGTGTGTTGGTTGGTGTATAGTATTTTTCACAAAATTTTTCTAGAATCGGCTTTTTGATTTGCGATCCTGATACCCTGGCAGGCTAGTGGCAATTACGAAAGGCCCTGTACCGCATTCACTGGCCATGGTATTAGAATCACGATTCTCATACTGTGCCCTTAAGGTGGCGATACAGCAAGGGCTGTCTGCCGTCTGTCTTTAACCGGCCTTCACCCATAAAGATAGGAAACCTAAGCCCGCTATTAGAACAATGACCCCATTTTTGTAGGTAGAGTGATTAACAAGACGCTGGTTTATCAATGCATTTTCTTTAGAAATAACAAAGCGTATATGGAAAACAAAAAGGAATAAGAATAATTAATTCTTAATAATATTGCCCTCATAATATTTGCATGTGAAGAAAAGCTCGCTAGTTTCATTTTCTTTTGTCAATAGTTAACTTTCAAATTTGTTTCGATTTTAGACAGAATAAAAAAAACAGCTTCTCTAGTTTCATAGCTATGATAATACAGATACTCTGAAATGACAAAGAGGGTGCTTCGAATAAGGGTTTTTAGGGCAGATCACTTTAAGATAATTTTCATTAAGGGTTAAATCATGAAAAAGTCTCAATTTCAGAACAGATGATAAACAAATTACCCCTAAGTAACAAAATTAAATTAAACATAAGAAAGAGTATTTTCTTTCACTAAGACTGCAACCATTAAGTCTGTAGGGTGAAATTTCCTGACATAAAAATGTAAAAGAAAGTTTTATACTCAAAGTGGGAGGTGACGTTTAATTCGGACGCGAGAATAATTTCTCTATTTCTTTCTTCATGTAAATGCAAGGTGTTTTGTTTGTGAAAGAGTCTGGATTTGTATCAGCTGGTCAAAATCTTTCAAATCTCGCTAAGCGTCACGAGAAGTCTAAGATGCACACAGTCAACTACACTGCTTACCAGCTCTTGGGTAATGTCGACGTAGCATGTGCTTTGGATGAAGCAAGGCAACAAGATGTCGTACGACACAATCACAATGCTACACGTCTTTCAAAGATGCTCTATCATCATATTGATATTGCTGTTTTGTTAGCTCCTCAGGGCCATCAAGATGAATCTAAATTATCATCAAACAGAGGGAATTTTTTAGAGCTCTTGGAATTACTTGGAGCTTACAGCCACGAACTTTGTTTATTCTTAGACAAAGACCACATTACATACACATCCCATGAACCACAAAATGAGCTAATAGAATGTATTTTTAAAGAAGTTCAACAGGAGATCCAAAAACGCATTAACAGCTCAAAATATGTCGCCGTGATGATGGATGACACAACTGACATTAGCAATGTCGAGCATTCTGCGGTACCTGTGCGGCTTGTTCATAACGGTGAAGTTGAAGAGCATATGCTAGGCATGATCGATGCTTCCAATGATCAGTCAGCCGATGCTCTTGCCAAAATTATGATGTCAACGTTGGAAAAAAAGAATTTGGCGCCAGCGACAAGTAAATATAAGCTCATTGGTCAGTCGTACGATGGGGCCCCTACAATGAGCGGACAACTTAATGGTGACCAAAAGCAAACACAGCACCATTACACAGCAGCCTATTATAATCAGTGCGTTGCTCATAGGTTATCCCTTTGCGCAGCACAGTCCGCAATGAAAATCACAAAAGTTGCCAAGTTTTTTGGCACAGCCGACAAGTTCGTTGGCTTCTTCAGAAGCAGTCAGAAGCGCACAAGACTTGTCGGACTTAATCTTCCAAAACCTGGAGATACACGGTGGCTGTCACGTGATACTGCAACAAGTGTCATTGACATCCACTACGAAACGATAGGGCAGTCCTATATGAAATTTCAAGAAGTAGAAGCAAGAAAGCCGACACACAAAGTACAGCCAGGGGCCTTTGCATTCAAATGCAACAAGTCGAATTCGTCTTTCTGCTCAAGCTTTACCGAAAGATATTTGAGCAATTCACGCCAGTCATGACCATCATGCAGAAGCCAACATTAGATGCCGTACAGCAAGGTCAAGTATGCAACAACAACAAAAGAAATGCTTGTTATTTTGCAAGTAGAGCACAAGCTTTTACGGTGGCTAAACAGACAGCCATTTTTTAAAGACAATGTTGTTGCTAGATTTAAATCATTCAACCGGCGTAGATTCGAAAGATTTTCAAAAAAATAAAAAGGAAGCTTATTATTTAGCATTTAAAATATTATATGAAACATTATAGCCTGTACTTTAAGTAGTTTATCCTTTCATAGACATGAGGTAGAAATCATTTTCTAATCTGAATTTGTAAGCTGTTTCAAAATCAATTATTGTATAGACCAAATTGATAGAGTGCTTACCATGCAATGTGGTTGCTCTTTTTTGAGGAACCCCACAAAAGGGAGCTTATGCACTTTTAATCTCAAATTTAGAGAAAGTCTAAGACTTAAATTCATAAAAAACCTTTTTTCAGGGGTAGGACCTCAATGAGTCTATATCTTCCCCCCATTCTAGCTAGATTGTTTTTGAGCTGTTCAAAATTTCGGAGAACTAATACCAAAAAAATTTGGCTCCCTGCTGCCCCTGCACAACCCATCTCAGATTCCTGCATGCTTAGCTTTCCGATTACCTGTGACACCTCCCAGCAGCATCTAAACTCACAGGCACCAACAAGATTCTTAGCCTTGCATTTGATACATCAACACCTAATAAATTAATTTAGGCCATTACTTTACATGCATAAAAGCTTTGCTATGCCTATGGTCTTCGACGCAGGCCATACTGATGATGATTGCTAATTTCGATTTGATGAAGGAAAATAATACTAATAATATAACACTTAGAAAATTATGCAACTGAACATCGATGTTATATCACAAATGAGAGATAAGGCTACAAGTGACGCAGCAATTTTTGTATTGTACAACAAGACTAGGCCTATCGTAGCTAGAAATTCCGATGCCACGATAGCATGACAAATAAATTAAATGCTGAATTTATGCTTCATATTATAAACTTCAAGCTAATTACCAATCATCCACTGCTTGTTTTCTATCAAATCTCTCTTCTAGAGTTTGCAATGGAATTGTGTCGATGTCGGCCTCATCATTTTCCCCATCGTCTTCGTCAGAGGAAGACGCCAGTGGATCATCTTGATAGGGCTGGAAAATCGTTTCAACGTTCCCATCTTCTAAAATTTCTTCACTAACATCTAATAAAATTTCCTCATTATATCCAGCTGTGAACTCCGCATCCGACATTTCCTTACCAACATTGACAATTTTCCTAACTTTGCTGCACACTGCTCTGCCTCCGTTTGAGTAGGGATCGAAAGCGTTGCAAATTGAACTAACACACCAGAATACATCACTCTCCCCAGACTCTTTTCGAAAAACCTACCCTGATAAAACCCCCCAATAAATGGCCTTATGCCCCTTATTTTGAAAAGATTCTTGCAGATTAAGAATCAGCAATCTGTATTGCCTCTGAAAGCAAGTAACAAATTTTTTCGATTTTTCATGTCTGTAGCACTTTAAAGACTGTAAATCACCACACCTTCGATGCTACTCTGTAACACTTTAAAAAATGTGTGCTGGTTGTGCCAGTGATTGTGTGTTTGTTTCAGTTGATACACACCATCATCAAATTATTTCATATAAAAGTTTTCTGATTTGATTGCTTCCTCATTGGTGCAAGGGCATTTTATTTCGAGCAATGCATTTTCATCAATTAAGCCATCAGGGGAAGCCCCCAAAATGCCAGACAAT